GCCATGGTGTAGCGGTTAGCATGGCTCGGAAGCAGAGAGTCCTGGGTTAGATTCCCAGGGGAACCACATGCTTGGCGCTTGCTAGCAGCGTATCTGCTGCTAACACAACAATTTCCCACACTTGAGATCAATATAGTACAAATTTATTTGGCGTTTGGGAGCAACATAGTACAAATGTATTTATTGTGTTTGTAATAAGTAAGTCCATCTATTTTAAATGTCTCTGCTATCATATTACTCCTGCTTTGTAGACCACTGCAGCTGTGGTATCATTGTTTCACACGGACTGTTTCTTTTTTTCTAAAAAGAAAAACAATACAAAAATCACCAACATTAACTCTCTACAAAAACCAGCAAATCAACCCCCCAACCCCCTTTGACAACTTCTGGTTTGCAGTCCTGGAGATGTGTGTGACCTAGCATGTTAGCTATTGGCATAATCGTTAGATTCTCAAATGTCGCATGTTACCTAAATGCCCCTTGCATTTCCTATGGTACGTGAACGCCCCTCATTATGGACAGTGTGTGGGCCCCTACTAAACAATGTTCATTTTTGAGCCCCCCCCATACCTTACGTCCCAGAGTTAAACGTATCCTAATTGATGAGTACTCCATCACATGGGTCACTTGTATTTTGGATCAGTCAGAAGCTATGAACGACTGTATTAAGTGATCGACAGACTTAGAAATATGTGCAGGAAGGTAACTTAGAAAGAATGAGCACATGATGAAACTGCCTTTTATCCAACAAAGAAAATGCCAAAATGATGAAGGAGCTGATGACTTGGCACAGCATGTAATGGATGATCAACACTTGGTGGAAATATTGATTCAGTTGCTGTGGACGACGGCGCTGGCAGCACATCAGATTCATAAAGAGATGGAAGACAGAATATGAGACAATCATATAGAAGAAGAGCAGTTTGACAAATCCATTAGGCCAGATGTCTTGATGTTTTTATTTTCTGAAAGATTGAGCAAATACAAATACATATATACACACATATATACATTTTGTATGTATACAGTGGAACCTCGGTTGTCCAATGTCTCCCGGTTGCCGAACAAGAGACGACACCACGTTAGCACCAGGTGATCACTAAGTGTGTTGTCTGATTTTGCCTGTATTTCTTGTGTTATTGTGCTATTTCTTCGATTTTCTTTATTCCATTAATCACCATGGGGAAAGAAAAATAGTGAGAACAACAATAGAAGTGAAGAAAGATTATATCGAAAGCATGAGAACGGCGCTCGTGTTTCAGATCTGGCTTTACAGTATGGCTTAGCAAAGTCGTCGATTTGTACCATTATTAAGAACAAGGCAGCAATAAAAGAAGCTAAGGTTGTCAAATGAGTGACTGTGATCACCAAGCAAAGATCTCAGACATTAGAAGAAGTCGAAAAGTTGGTACTGATTTGGATCAACCAAAAGCAGTCGTTCGGCGACAGTATTTTAGAGACAATAAATAGTTAGAAAGCGAAGCGAACATTGCGCAATCACGACTCCTCAGCACCAGTAAAGATGAATGAAATTGCTAAATCTAATTATTTTCATTGGTTTCATGTAGGAACTTGCACACAAAATACTTCAACTATACTATACTTCTACTACAAAAAAAAAAAAATCATCTGGGTTCCAGGTTTGAATACATCCATTCCTATGGGTAAAATTGTTTCAGTTTTCGAACTTTTGGTTCACCTATGGCCTACAGGAATGAATTAAGTTGTGTATATATATATATATATATATATATATATGATGTATATACTGTATATATCTATGTATGTACATATGTATTTAATCATTCTTTCCACTGACAACTAAGCATTTTAGTAGTCAGTTCCAGCACTAAGAATTAGTTCCAACAGGCAGGAAACATGTATGGCACTGGTGTTCCCAATAAAAAAACCCAACCCATTCCACTGCACCAAAGTCAATACATGAAACTATACTACTACACTTTTGATATAGTTATAACATGTTTTTCTCAGCTTAAGCGATTCAGTACAATACGGAAGAGTTTTTTTTTTTCCTATTTAAGCCAATTGTGTTTTCGAGATTTGGCTCAGCTGAAATAAATATTGAAAATGTTTTGCCTAATTATAGGTTGAGGGTGTAATTCATCTTTAAACATAGTCCTGGATGTTCCTGTGTGTGAAGATAAACCTGCAATTATTCTCTTCACCGAGACACTTCCATTGATTCACGCTCTCGCATCTGGACGAGCACTTGTTGTGCTCACTGCCCAAAACCCCCCGACAGAAACATGGTGCCGTGGCACACAGTGTTCCCGGTGTTTTTCTTGTCTACTTAATGACACCACTATTGTCTAGAAGTAAAAACCCCTGTCTCATTTCATTTTGCAGACAACCTGAGTGAAGCCCTGGAGAAGCTAAAACTAGCGTCCTCCAACAGCACCACTGACAGCGTGGAGAGCTGTCTCGACTGCCTGCACAAAGCTCTGGCCAACAACAGTAAGTTTAGTCTGGTGTTCACTCAGCACTTTGTTTCTACTTTGTGGTTCCTGTGTAATGATGCAGTCTGTCCACTCTGCATCTTTGTTATAGTTCGACTGGATCACTGCTTTTCCACGACACTACTCGGGCAGCCACGTAGTTAGAAAGCAGAAGTGGTTGAGTTTGTGACATTCTTAGGCTCAATTTGAACTTAAATCTTGATCTTACCCCCAATAAGACAACCGTGGTAAGACAGCAGTTGGGCTGCTAAATCACTTGTTTAGTGAAAGTATTCTTTTGGTAATCCACATTTGCAACATAATAAAGAGTTGTTTAAATATATTGCCTCACTGCATATAGTGCTATTTACAGCAACTGTAGTCTGTTCATAAAACATCAGAATATGTATCACAGTGGCCTATTTATTAATAAATAATAAATAGTTATATATAATATA